GGTGAGGCACTGGCCCAGGTTGCCCAGAGAAGCTGTGGCTGTCCCCTCCCCGGCAGTGCTCAAGGCCAGGTTGGACGGGGCTCTGGGCAAACTGGTCCGGTGGAAGGGGTCCCTGCTCATGGCAGGGGGGTTGGAACCAGATGATCTTTAAGGTCCCTTCCAACCCAAACCATTCTATGTGTCTATGATTCTGTGATATCTGAAACATCAACATTTCTAAGCTATTGAGTAGGTTTTTTTGTGTAATCTTTCAAGTGCAATTCTCAGAACAGCACATTTACATGAAATTAAAATATTCAGAGCTTTTTTTTGCTTTTATGATTAAAAAAATGTAACTATATGATAACAAAGATTTTTTTCCACATGAGAATTTTTGTGGCCATGTTTTTAAAAATTCTGCAAGATTTACAGGTCTGACTTTACTTTTTTAATTAACTTGCACAATATCTTACCCCATTATGGAGAACATTCATTTTATACTGATATTTGTTCTTTTGAAACTAAAATTGATGTTTTGTTTTCTTTCAGTATTAACAAACTGATTTTGAAAAAGGATACTACAGGTGACATTCTAACCCATTTCCAGTGGAAATCATGTCTGCTCTGTGATATATTGTCTAGATAAAAGGAGGGCATACAGATAAATTCTGTTGCATTTCCTTTCTGAAGAGTAATAGTTTGTATCAGTGACAGACTGATATAATTCAGTCAGTCTAATGAAATCATAGCTAAAAAAATTCATTTTTACTGTGTGAACAGGAAAGACACAGGCTAATCAAATAATAGGGCATTGAAGAGCATACACAGAAAACTTTGTTCCATGGTTTGCAATGGTATAAGTAGCAACAAGCAGGGAAAATTATCAGCAGTTCACCCATTTCTTTAAAAAAACAGGAGAGGTCCACTTAAGATAGTAGAAGGAACATCAAAAACAAGCAACAGGAAATGGCTTTTCTGTTAAAAAGTAATAGCCCTGATAGTCTGATAACTATTGTAAAGGCTATAAAGTCATTAATATTAATGAAGAGATGCAGTTCTGGGATTTATGGCCTGTCAGCATTGCCTAATGTATCATTACACAATCTAAATGGTATTTTGCTGGAAAAAGTCAAGAGTAGAAGTCTGAGAAATGTCTGAGCTAGAATAACTATGCATTCTATTATATGGAAAATTTTATGCACTGGTACACAGGCCACAGAAGTTAAGGAAAAAAGACAGATAGGAAATGATCTAATCGGAGTTATCACATCTTAGGCAAATACACAGGTTCACAGTAGAACCTGGAAAACTAAACAGATTAATAAAACAACCTTTCAGCAGCTTGATTCCAGAGGAGACATAGAGACTTCTGCGGAACAATCCGACTTCCTGTAGCATAAATCCGATAAATGACTTCATTGTTACCTTTCAAAGGGTGTGAACTCTGACCCTTCAAACTCATAGAAAAAACCTGAAACAACACATACAATAAATTTAATATTAAAATTCCACAGTCGGTGCTTATCTTAACACACAAAAATGTTCACATTATTTTAAACAAATTAAAGATGGTTTGAACAATCTCTAAATTAAACTAACTTCTTGAAAAAATAAATTGGATTATCTTCAAACCTTGTTCTTCAGAGCAAGTTCTTTATCTCCAGTAAGGAACCACTGCTGACTGCTGTATTCTGTGAACTGTACAGATTCACAGTTCTCTTCTTGAGGAGGAGATAATACAACAGAGACCTCTAATAAATGTTCAGGTACTTGAATAGAATCCCCATCTTTTCCATTAAATCTGTGTCCATTGATTTGCTGAGGAAACCAGTTGTGAGCCATTATTGCAATATATGGGCAGCTGTCAAGGATATTTTTACCTCTGTTGAAATGGAAAAGCAATAGGGGTGGTAAGTGGAACTAAGCTTTCAATATTCTTCACAGAATGACTCTAAAATGTATTTGTAATTAATACTTTATTCCTTCATCATTTTTAGGCTTTATGATGTTTAATGGATAGACAGCTTCAGTTGCTGTGAAAAAAAGAGGGGCTGAATTCTTATGTACTTCAGCTTCTCCATTTCCCCTCTGGGCTTTGCTCACTATGATCTGCAGCCAAAACCCCTCCATGGTAAAGTAGATTATCAACATACTCATTGTTATAAATTGTTGTAGAGATGAGTCTACAAGAAGGAGAGACATTAAGATGGATGATCTTGCTTTACCTCTTATTCCCGACAGATAATACAAAAATGGGCTTCATACCCCCTACAACTTGTGAAATGGCAAGAAAAGTTACATCTCCAAAACAAGTTGAGATAGAAATCTAAACCACGCCGATTTTCTGAGGGAAAAAAAGGTGATCTTTTTTTTCTAAATTCTACTACCAGTTATTTAATAGATTCACAGTGGAAGAAATCAAGTGTTTAAAAGCATCTGTCTCATAGAAGAGTGCCATCTATTCCTGCAGTCACCTATTCCCCCTGCCCATTAGCCTGACCACAGGGTATTATGCACTTGCAGATAAAACTAGCAGTTTGAAACTACAGGTGAAAACTGTGAGTAGCTTTTGATAAATTTTAAATCATGTTCAAGTGAGCAATACACAGAATGAGCATACCAGTAGACATTTTGGGTTACTTACTGTCATCTATCATACAATTTTACATACTATTTTCGTAGTAAGATTAATGAATCACTTTCCAGGCAATATTTGAGCTAAAGTTGAATTCGAATGTCCCAGATCCCCTGACTCCCGCTCCCACAGCTACCCTGCATCAGTGTACCAGTTACTTGTGACACCAGCTCACAGGGCCAGTATAGTGCTTTTTAAGATTGTGACAGAGTGCAGCACATTTTCATATAGGTAATGTATTAGATGATAGATAAGTCCCTTTTCTAAAAAGATTATGTAAATTTTGACTATATTGATAAGTTGCTATGTATTTCCAAAACATATGAATTTAAGTTTACTAACCTTTCTCCTGGTGATCCACACATTATCCCTGTCAACAGGGAAAAAGCAAACTTCTCAGTCACCTCAGCAAGCAGGCTATATCCTCGCGTGTCCTCACGTTTGGGGCTAGCCAGAGCACAGAGTATCTCATAGAAAAGACTTCTACTTTTATCAGTGAGTAACCGTTTTTCACCTACATCTGTAACCTAATGAGAGGAGAAGAAATCAAACAACTTTTTACGCAGAGAAGTCTGCTTATAAGATTTCCTCATGCTGAACAGTTTAGTAAGACCTCCATTTTTATCCCAAAGATCATCCTGAAAGTTCAGAATATATTTTCCACCTTCTGATCACTGCTGCCAAGGCATGAGATGCAGTCTATGTTAACAGTACACAGAGTTATCCTTACTAATAGGGATTTGATCATTAAAGAAACCGCGTGGCATTTTTCATTCTTTCACAAAAAGTTTGCTGAGTCCTGAGAATTTTTGATATTATTTTCTCTGTTTTCTGTGTCAAAATGGAAACAACCACAAATGAACAGTTGTTCATGAATATTGTTATACGGCTTTGTGTCTAGGTATTTAAACACTTTCCAGCTCCTGTGCATTATTCCACAAGTCCAGAAGAGCCAGAAAGCTGTAAGACTTGTCACAGAGTTTTCACAGAACTTAGTGCAATGCTGAAGCGCTCCGCTACCTTGCCAGCCTGATTCCCAAAGCTACTGCAGGAACAAAGACAAGATGCATGCCTGGTTAAGAACACACCAGACTACAGTTGGCCCTGGTACGGTTTGCTTGTGTGTTGACTGCAGTCAGCTTTGAAGACACGAGCAAACCTTGGGCCTCACTGTCTCGTGCCAGGGTTAAAACCAACAAAGATGTGGCCTGATAATCAAGAAACCATAATAAGCTCTATGAAACTACGGCACCAAGGAGAAAATTTTGCACAGCAGAAAATCTTGAGCTACATGTACATGTGAAATGAATACTGGTTGCTTTTTCCAAACTATTTGATTTTTATTTCCTGCCACCATCCTAACTGGTGGCAGACAAACTTCTTCCTTGATTGTGGGACTTCAAAATTCCCTCAAATTGCCTCATGGGAGTTTTAGATTCAAAATTAGAAAAACTTTACTGAAAGACTGTTCAGGCATTGGAACAGGCTGCCCAGGGAGATGGTGGAGTCACCAGCCCTGGAGGTGTTCAAAATATGTGTGGATATGACACTTCAGAACATGTTTTAGCGGGCATGGTGGTGCTGGCTTGGCAGTTGGACTTGATGATCTTAGCAGTTTTTTCCAACCTTAATGATTGTATTGTATTGTATTGCATTGTGTTGTATTGTGTTGTGTTGTATTGTGTTGTGTTGTATTGTATGGTGTTGTATTGTATTGTGTTGTATTGTATTGTGTTCTATTCTATTCTGTTCTGTTCTGTTCTGTTCTACTCTACTCTACTCTACTCTACTCTAATTTTTACCTTTGCAATCTGTGCCCCTGAGTCACTGCTGTGGATGATAACCTTGATCTTATCACAGGCCTACATGTTATTATATTCTTATTAAAGTCATTGGTCATTCAAGAAAGAGCAGGAAAGCTTTACCTTGTCTATTATATGCACCACAGCAGTGAGCTGCTCTTCTGTAGTTTCTGTAGCCACTTTGACATTCAGATTCTGGAGGACTCTGTGTAAAATGGTGTCATCAAGAGGCTGATGTAGTTGATCAATCAGTCCCCAAACTGGCAAGGAGTCCAAATCTGAGACAATGGTGATGTTAGCAATACCATAGACATAATCTACTCTGGCACCGCCTGTGGGATTAGAAAGTACAACCTGGAAACGTTTAGGAAATGGGTTTAAAGATGCTGTCTTTGGAGTCAGGGTCACATCCAGAAACGTATTTCTCTGTCCAGGTTCAAAAGTCAATAACCCTTCAGATCTGGCAAAATCTTGTCCTGCCACAGCTGGAGATATGAAG